TATTTTTAAAAAATGGAACACTATCAATATGGGGTTTTTTTCATTATACTTTTATAAGATGGATTAAATATTAAACAAATCTATAAGACTTAAATAAAAGGATTTTTTATGATCCCTTGGAACATGTCATTAATAGTGTCCAAGTTTTTGGTGGCTTGCTTCATTTTCTATGTTTGAATTGCCCATTTCATACAATTCTTCATGCTTGCATGTGCTTTTACCAATAACATAGGAAACAATTTGCAAGTTGCTTTGCCTCTATGCTTTCCTTGTCTCAATTACTATTTTTATTATTGTCCATTGCGTATTCCCATCAATAGTATTTCTCTTTGATATTTTTATAACATATACTAAATTTCATATTCAATATTATAACTATAATGTTTCATTCTATAATTATAATTTATCATCTAATGCAAAAGCTCTTATCCAATAATAGTGTAATGAAACCCTTTATGTTAACCAAAAATTTTATTTAAAATCCAATCTATAAAATAATTTGATCGATATTTTTTTCTTCATTTAATCCAATAAAACTTTGTTAGCAATGAGTAGATTTGATAAATACTATTGACTCTCAAATCAAGTTTAAAAAAGGAAACAAATTCAACTATTTAACAACATGGAAAAGCCAAAAGTTCTGCCATTCTTTAATTTTAGATTAATATAATAAATCATTTATTTTGTTATAATTAATATATTGTTAATACGTTATCAACCATATTATTTGTGATATAAAATTGGAATTATTACTATTGTTATTGTAGTATTGAATTTTTTTTTTTTTTTTTTATCAAATTATGTATTACATGATATTCCATATTTTGTCTACTATCAGATTAAACGGATAATTTATCAACATTAACGTATCAATAACAATAATAAATTATATATATAGTTATTGGAAGAACGTTATTATCTCTCGAAAGTAAAATATTAGATGTGGCGAGTGGAGACAAGAATCTCAATCATATACTAAATGAAAAGTGGTTGGTGAGTCGAATCAAAATTATGAGAGATATGGCCATATGGGCAAGCATGTACTCCAACTACCTAATAGGATGGAATAGTTGTACCATTTTGTTTATTAAATTCAAATTGAATAGACTAAGGTCCCCATTCTCATGATAATAGTTATTACAAGAAAAAAGGCTTTCAACCACAAAATTTTATTATACAATATTCTACCTCTAATCATTGTTTTAAAAACCAGTCGGAGGACAACCCGCTCTGATGGTGGGTCATAGTCAATCGGTCAACCGTTTGGACCGCTGGTTGAACCAATGGTTTGAAGGTTTAAAATCTAACAAAAACACCCCTGATAAATACCATAGAATCTTAGGTTGAAATCTAGCAAACACACCCTAGCCAAATGTAAATTAGCGATCGATTGAGATAGCAGCGGCGACACACCAAGGAGGGTAGATCGGATGATGAGGAGGGCGAATCGACAGCTAGCAATAAGTGAGGATCGCCAGAAAATGGCAGATCGGTGTGGGAAGTCACTGGCGGTGGCTTTTTTGTGAGATGAATGGATTGTTCGTGAACGACGACAGAGAGCTTGGGAGAAGGTAGATTAGTGGTTGAGGAAGCCTGTCGTGCGGAGAAGGCCGATCGACGCCTGGAAATGGAAGAAAAATACGCGGCGAAGGTGGACGACGAAACGTCACGCGGGGCTGAGAGAGAAGGTGACAGCGCTGGAGAAAGTCAAAACTCAGAAGGTGGTTTCCGACAAAGGGAATGTGGAAGGTCGCCGGAAAAGGGAAGGTCATTGCCGATTTGCATTTGGCAGAGGGTGTGTTTGCTAGATTTGAAACCTTCAGAGACTATGGGAATAATCACGGGGTGTTTGTTATGTTTTAAACTTCAAACAGTTAAAAAGAGTGACCCGACTCGGGGCTCCGGGGAAGGCCTCGGGTCCCGGTCCAACCGGTTGGACCGGTCGGTCCGGTCGATTTTTAAAACAGAGCCGTAATATTAGCTAACATAATATTTCTACCGGTTTTTTAAAACAGAGCCTGTAATATTAGCAACAAATATTCTACCATACAGCTAGATCATCAAACCTAGGAAACCATATAAGCTAATATTTTTGGCTTTTTTTTGGCGAAACTCCGTCAATAGAGACAATGTGGTTTTTATCGTCGAGTAAATCACTAGATAATATTCAATGGTGTCATCACAACCCTTGCTGGAAAACCATCGGTGGTCAACCCTCTAGCCAGTTTTTCAAGTTTTAATTTTTTAAATTTTTAGTTTAAATAATTTAGTGTTTTAAATAATTATATTTTAATTAGTTTACTTAGTCCAAGTTGCACAAAACACTAACAATATAAATATTCATTAATTCCATTAAAATAATAAATCCATCCGGTGCTTTTAAACTAAAGACACCATAAGTATAAGATAATAAACTATAATTTTTTATTATTCTACCTAATTGTCAACTCATACAGTATAATTATAGATAATATAAATTCAATCCAATATGATCTCTATCAATTAAAATAGTAAAAATACATAAATATTACAAATTTAAATATTTTAAAGAGATAATCAATATTTTTGTGAAGAATGGTCGGTGAGATAAATTGCAATAATAATTAATAAATAAAACAAAACAAAACAAAACAAATAAAAAAAAATGTATGGTTAATGGGAAGCAAAAGGTCAAGAGATTAAGAAGAAATTAAAAATTAAAAGACAAAATTAAAAAAGACGAATAAACGTTATAGTCCGGAAATGGTTCCTAATCAACAGCAGTACATCTTTTAAGTAAATTTACTTCACACTCCCAATTTTATGTTCCCAAAAACTCATACATTTCAGAAATTTTAAAATACCCCACAATTATGATCTAGCATCAATGCCATGCGCCAACACAACACTATTTATTTAGGTAACAACATATTCCCCCCAAGGTTTGATCCAAACATGTAGATACTTAACCCTGAATATTAACAAATGTTAGGAAAAAAGTAGTATAAATGGTCATTACTAATAGAAAGACCTTTTCGCCCTCAAAGTTTAATGATATCACCAGGAAATATAAAGGATTTTTTTTACCAATAAATTTTGACATATTAACAAATGTCAAAGAGGGCTAGCAAACAAGGTCAATTTTTAGAGACTTGTTGCCCTTCAAGGTTAAAAAAGGAAAAAAAAAAAAAACTATGTTCTCATGTTAGTTTATTCATTCGAGAAGGTGATTTCATCCTTGGGAAACATCAAGCATGTCCTTACCTTAATTAGCCAATGTAGAGTTTTTAGGACATTTATATGAGATACTAAATATTGATTATTTTGGAATTATCATTCACTAATTAACAAGACCTCAAATGTTGTAACAAAATAGTATTAGAGTCTAAGGCAATTGTTGGGTGTTTGTCAATTACCCAAATACTGATATGTCGGTAATATATTTACCCCCATCCAAGTCTAAGAAATAACTCATTTCTATGATCTAAAATTAACACCAGGACAAATCAATAAGAGTAGATAACTTAGGTTTAAATTGTTGTATTTTAGGTTGGAATTCTTTTATCTTGCAAAAAAGAAAAAAAAAAAAATCTATCAATAAGTACTCTTGAACAATTCAATTCAACTATTTTAAGTATATATAAGGTTTTTGATGTATTGAAATGGGCTACTTCAGTTTAATAGATAAATAATGTACTCATATTAGAGATAATAAAGCTACATGTACAAACCCTCCAAACTCACCTATACAAACAGATGTGTTTTAATGTGATTTAATATTAGAGATAATTTAAACAAGTTAGAGTAGATGATAAGATTACTGTTTGTGAAAATCTCATAGAATCCGTAGCCTTACTCTTTTTCTATATCAATATTTTTTTTTACCTTATTTTCATAACCCTTCAATATGGGCAAGGCTTCAAATTTGAAATAAATTATAACCTAATACTTGAAAATCTAAATTCTCATTTGCTAGTTTTTTTTTTTATTATTATTTTTGGAGCAACTCTTGTGTAACTATGTCATCTCAATTTAATTAAAAAAAAAAAAAAAACCATAAATGAAAACTGGATGTTTGTTTCTTTATTTATAATTTTACAAAGTTACAATTTTACCCTTCCTTTGCTAATTTTCCTGCCATAAACATGGGGGACTTGAGTGCCTATGTTACAATCATTTGTATCCATTGGTATTAAATCAAATTGCTGAGGGGTCATGGAAATTTACCCTTCATTTGTTTGCTAAATTTTTCCAACCACCATTTATTTGTTAATTAAGAGTTAAAGTGCTTATTTCACAATCCTCCATATCATTTTGTCATTAGATCAAACCTGTGTAAGATTAGAGTTACAATTTTACCCTTCATTTGGTAAGTTTTCTGAACCACCCTTAATATATAGGAGCTAAGTGACTATATCACAAGGGCAATACTAAAATTATAAATCAATATCACAAATTTTCTCTTATAATCATAAAGTGACAGTTAAAAATTAGTCAACTCAAAATAAGTCTCACCTAACAAATTATGAACATATCAATTGCGAGTTAAAAAGTCAAAGTTGTGAGAGAAAGTTTGTAAGATTAGATTTTAGGTTAATCTTTATTGATATCACAATCTTTGGTGTATGTCCTTATTACATCAAACCTCAAGGGTGTACATAGTTAACCTATATTTTAAACTTTTGATTTTTGAAGGTGTCCTTGTTAAGGAGTAAATTTCAGGGGTGTCAATGTAATATCTCCAAACTTTTTATTACAATGGAAGGAGAGCTAAAAGGGTAGTTTCGGAATAAGCAAAGAATAATTGTAATGCAGTTTAACTGTGAGACAAATGCATGTGACCCAGCTAACGAGGCGAAATAATGCGCCCATCACTCACTGCACTGGCACCAACACAGCGACAACTGCTAATTTATATTTTAATTCAATGTGAATTGCAACAGACAAAACAACAGTTACACAATAGCTTGAATTAAAGTGACTACAATACAGCTTAATTGTGTCAGAATATTTTGGCTGATTTTGTGAAGTGAAAAGAGAAATAAATTTATACATAAAACAAATGAAAGCATGTTGAAAAGAACTTTTACAATCTGTTTCCAACCACCACCCATGTTCTGCTATCCTTTTTAAGATAAGTATGATATCCCTTATCATGATTTTCTAGTATTCATTTGTAGATTTTGTTCCCTCTTTTGGGTTAAGTTTTTCTTCTCAGATCTGGGTTTTTTGTTGGAGATTGGTTGATTCAGGAGAAAGTTGCAGGTGGGATTTTGATAATTCTGGGTTTTTTGGACGTTTCATGTTGAACTTGAATGCATATTTTGAAGTTTTGTGTGTTTATTTTATGGATTTGTTTGGTGGTTTGATGGACATTTGGAGATGAAGTTTTGATTTTTTTTTCATGCATTTTGTATGTGTTGTTTGTTGTTGAATGTTCTTTGGTTATATTGTTATTCAACTGGGATTTTAAATTGAGAAAGTGTGGTGATGGAGAGGGTACAATGCAGGGAGGTGATGAGTGTATTTCTTGTGGTGATGATCTTTGTGTTTATCAGAATTGGTGAAGCTCAATCTCAGTCTTTTCTAATAAATTGTGGCGCTGATTCTGCTGTTAGTATAGATGGTAGGAAATGGGTTGGCGATTTGGCCCCTAATAACAATGTCACTCTCAGTTCTACTGGTACGGCTGCCACTACTGCCACATTGAGTGCTGGTTCAATCTATGAGCCAATTTATAAATCTGCTAGAATTTTCAAAGATGGATTGAACTATACAGTTAAAGTAATTCCAGGCAACTATATTGTTAGGCTCCATTTTTGTCCCTTCCCCTTTGAGAATTTGAATGCCAATGATTCGTCCTTTGATGTTGTGGCGAATGGCCTCAAATTGTTGTCTCAGTTGAGTGTTCCTGGTGAGATTGCACACAAGAACTTGTACTTGCAAAGTTCAGGTGGCAATGCAAGTTCATTCTCTTTGATTAAGGAGTATGTACTGGGGATCAATTCGGATGTTCTTGTCATTGAGTTAATCCCCAGTGAAGGATCATTTGGGTTTATAAACGCCATAGAGATTGTCCCCGTGGTAGATAGGCTCTTCGCAGATGCAATTCAGAAAGTGGGTGGAAATGACATGAATTTAAATTTGAGTGGTCGAGGGATTGAAACCATGTATAGGTTAAATGTTGGGGGTCCTGAGATCAAACCCAATCAGGATTCAGATCTCTGGAGAATGTGGGAGGTCGATTCCAGCTACATGATCACAGCAAATGCTGGGGTTGAAATCCGTAACAGTTCTAACATTACCTATGCCTCTATGAATGATTCTTCCTTGGCTCCTCTCCTTGTTTATGAAACCGCAAGAACCATGTCCAACACTGAAGTCTTGGAAAAGAGGTTCAACATGTCATGGAAATTTGAAGTAGATCCTGATTTTGACTACTTAGTTCGGTTACATTTTTGTGAGCTGGTCTATGATAATGCAAACGAGAGGATTTTCAGAATCTACATAAACAACAGGACTGCAGCAAATACTTTTGATGTCTTTGTGCAGGCAGGGGGAATGAACAGAGCATATCATCAAGATTACTTTGATGCTGTGTCTTCTAAGACTGACACACTCTGGATTCAACTAGGTCCTGATACTGCAGCTGGTGCTTCAGGAACTGATGCTCTCTTGAATGGGCTCGAGATTTTCAAGCTGAGCCGAAATGGGAATCTTGCATATGTAGAAAAATATGATTCTGCTGGAAATTCAGTTGGTCGTTCAAAGAGTTGGATTCTTTGGGTGGGAATTGGAGCAGGTATAGCTTCTGTTGCCATTCTTGCAGTTGCATTTACTCTTGTCTTCTATATCTGTAAAAACCGGAGAGAAAAAACTAGTGACATGAAAAACAACTCCCCTGGGTGGAGGCCACTCTTCCTTCACAGAGGCATTGTAAATAGAACTGCTAATGCCAAGGGAACAGGAAGCCAAAATCCAAATGGATCTTTGGCCTCTACCAGATCTGGCAAGCGGTTTGCATTGGCAGAGATTCGTGCAGCAACTAATGATTTTGATGAAAGTTTAGTGATTGGAGTGGGAGGTTTTGGTAAGGTGTACAAAGGGGAGATTGAAGACGGCTCCCTTGCAGCAATTAAACGTGCAAACCCTCAGTCTGAACAAGGGCTGGCCGAATTCGAAACAGAAATTGAGATGCTTTCGAAGCTCAGGCATAGACATCTAGTCTCCTTGATTGGGTTCTGCGAAGAACAGAATGAGATGATTTTGGTCTACGAGTATATGGCAAATGGGACTCTCAGAAGCCATCTATTTGGAAGTGATCTTCCTCCTTTGACTTGGAAGCAGAGATTAGAAGAGTGTATCGGTGCTGCCCGGGGACTCCATTACCTCCATACAGGAGCAGAGGGAGGGATAATCCACAGGGATGTTAAGACAACCAACATCCTATTAGATGAGAACTTTGTCGCGAAGATGTCTGACTTTGGGTTGTCAAAAACTGGTCCTTCCATGGAGCACACCCATGTTAGTACTGCAGTGAAAGGAAGTTTCGGATATCTTGATCCTGAATATTTCAGGAGACAACAGTTGACTGAGAAATCCGATGTCTACTCATTTGGTGTGGTGTTATTTGAAGTTGTTTGTGCTCGAGCTGTCATAAATCCAACCTTGCCAAAAGATCAGATTAATCTTGCAGAGTGGGCAATGAAGTGGCAGAGGCAAAGATCACTCGAAACCATTATTGATCCACGTCTCAAAGGGAATTACTCTCCAGAGTCATTGGAAAAGTTCGGGGAGATAGCCGAAAAATGTCTTGATGACGAGGGAAAGAACCGCCCTACAATGGGGGAAGTTTTGTGGCACTTAGAGTATGTCCTGCAACTGCATGAAGCTTGGATGCGTGCCAACGATAGAGAAAATTCATTTTCGAGTAGTCAGACTTTGGGGGAGCTAGAAGCGAGAGATATTGAAAAAGGCGAAGAAGTTCCAACTTTAGAGGAAGAAAACAGCAAATGAGAGGTGGGTTTTGCAGTGAGCTTGGTCAGATGTGAAGTGAGAAATAGTGTGTTTTCAGTTACAGTCCTATACATTCATAAATTCTTTATATTTGTTTAATGAATTCAGTGCGAATTTTAGAATTCTTGTTGTAATTGTTAATTAACCAGAGAGAGGGAGTTATTCAAATTTTATTCTTTGTAATATCGGCATTAGTTACAGTCCTCAGTTTTATAATGTGAACTGGAGCTTCTTCATTATCACTCATTGTGTAATTTACACTTTAATTGAAAAAATAAAAATAAAAATAAAACAAGAGTCAGCAGTTAGTTGGGTATTGATTAATTTAATTAATTGTTGCACTGTTGATAGGTAAGTTAGGAGTTCAATTTTCTTAATTGTCTAAATACCAGATTCTCAGGTCCTTCTAATTAAGCAATTGCATAAAGATTTCTTTCTTTTAGTTAGGACTTAAATAGATTCTTCTCCCAATACAACATGAAATAGCCACACAATGCTAGGGAGGGTCTTTGACTCTGCCTCATTGGGATGATTGAGTTTTGGATGTGTTGGGGTATCAGGAGTCCAGATGAACTGGTCCAATAACCAAATGAAGAAGTGCAGATTTTCTGCGAGCTGCTGCAGGGTGTTTATGGGTTTTGGCTGATCGTTTTGCTCGGGTTGGTTACCGTTGATCAGCTCTATTGGAAGACAGCAGGCATGGACCCTTTAGTTACAATAAAGAGGCTGCATATCCATGCTAAGGATTGGGCAAAGTTGGCAGCTAGTGGGGGTTGTGACACGGATAAAATATGGCCTTATCTTATGTGGATTCAGATGGTCATTGTAAATCCTTTTTTTGTGAGGGTAAACTGGTTCAAATGAAACAAAAGAGGGAGAGTTTTTTTCCTTATTTTATTATTCTTATGGTTTACCTCAGTGAGAGGAGAAGGCCTTAATCTTATGCTGGGGTTTATGGGTTGTCGGCTGGATTCCAAAGGGGTGTTAAGAGGAACTGGAGTTGGAACTCGTTCTGGGTTCTTGAAGGTACAAATTGGTTTTATGCTGAATGGGTTTTTAATTGGGTTAACGGGTGCTGGGCCTGGAATTTTTTGTGTCTGGATATCTAAATGGAGGGTGGGGTTTATAAGAAGTTGGTTGGGGTGATGGATACTTGGGCTGTTCCCTATGCAAGGTTGCACAGACCATTTTGTGTGGGCTGTTGACTTGTAGATTCATTCTTCTTTTTATGGGCTCCCCTTTGGGTTGTGCTGAGTCCTATTTTTGGGGCCATAAGGCTTTGTATATACAGTTTTGTCTTCGCTAAGGTCTTCTTTCTGGTTGGACCTCTGGGTAGAGGACGGTACATCCTTTGGTCCTTCGGCCTCTTTTGATTAACTTTTCCATTGGCATGTCCAAGTTCCCTTGTATTTTTTTATTTCTTTTTCAATACAATTACCAGTTAACCCAAAAAATAATAATAATAAAAAATGACAAGATTTTTGCTCTTCCAAAGTGGAGTTATATAGCCTGGTAGATCCACGCCAAAACTCTCCCAAGCTGAAGCAATTCTCAATTGACAGACTGAAAATGCTTTAGCCCAAAACAAAACTATTATTAGAATTGAACAAAAACTGGATCTAGTTGCTCATTAGGTGGACTCTCGGTCTCAGAACCACACTATGCTGATTTCTCGATTACAAAAACAGATTGATCATCCCCAAAACCGAATTGATTAGCTCCATCAGGAATTAATGCACATTGTCAACATCTCTTATGGCTATTCAACTCAATGTCTCCAAAAGGAAGCAGAAATGAAGTCACTAAAAACCCAAATGGCATCACTTCAGTAGGAATATCTTAAGCAAAAACTCAGACAACCACAGACTTTCCCAGAAATGCCTTTGGTACCAAATCCTTTTTTACTCTTCAACAACATGACCACAACCATCTTTTTCACCTTTTCCAAAGATTAGTCAACATTTGGTCTCACCTCATATACCTTCTAGTGTTGTTCAGGCTTTTGGAAACACTGAACAGTTATATGTCAAGCTCCGCAAAGAATGTGATGAAAAGATCAAGCTGGAACGAGAACAAAAGAAGCAAGAAAAATATTCTGCTAAAACGCAGAACCATCCGATGATATACCTGATTCTTTCTCTTCTAGTCATTCAGATCCTCCATCTCTTAAGCCTCATCGTCCTTTATCTAAGGACAAGGCTCCAATGAAAATAATGATGATGGAAAATCGCCAAACTTCTGCTAATCCTATCTCTTCAGAAAACCCGGTCTCTTCCAATTTTATAAGCTCTTTTTTTAGAGACATGGCAGAAAGACGTCTTGCAGCTTCGGGTATTTCTCAGGATTCTCTATCTACCTTCCAAATAGAATCAGAAGTTGATATACCTTCGACTGATGAATCATTTGAAAGTGGCTTTGACTCTGAAAGTAATACTTCTGATCAACATCCTAATGTTTATCCCCAACTGATGACCCATCAACCTGAATCGTCAAGACCACATGTTGTTTCTGAGGTTGATGATGAGATGCCTGAAGGTGATGATTCCATTCCTGACTCTCCACCTATGTATCGACAATCCCGTCATACTACGGCTGAGCGTGACTCTTATACAGTTTCAGCAAAGCTCCACACTTTTACTGTTGATGATCTTCCTCCACGCAAATGGAGAACTCGAATATATGAATTTCAAGCTTGGTTACAAGCTGAGATGCTTAAACCTAATGCCCAAGTCTCTACTGTACTTACGCAGTTTACAGCTAGATTTGGTGGCATTCTCCGTGATTGGTGGATAAATCTTCAAAAGTATAGACAAAATTTGTTCATTCAAATGCCAAATATTAATCAAGCTCTATATCTCTTTTATGATGAATTTTTTGGATTACCTCACCTTTATGAGAACCAAGTCAGAAAAGAATATTTTAAGATGCGATGTTGTTCTCTTAAAAAGAAAGATCTTGACAGGCATTACAAAGAGATGGTAAAAAGATATCATATACTTAGGGGTATGGATGATCCTAAAATGAAGCAAGCCTTTTTAGCATCTATTCCAGAATCCCTAAGTCATGAAGCAACCAAGCTTATGCAGTCCCAGAACAAACAACTTGGTTCCATTTCTCTTAGAGAAATTTATCAATTTGTCATTCTTGCTCCAGAAAAGCTCTATTCTCAAAAACAATTTTTTAACGATTATCTGAAGCGTTCTAAGCAGCTGACAAAGGTTTGTCAAAGACCAGACTTGTAGATCAAATGCAAATCAGATCGCTTATGTTCTTGTCCTACCAAGAAGAAGTCTCATTCCAAACACATCAAGTTTTCTCCACCTAATGCTCCTACTAGATGCAAATTTCGACGTTTCAAGCACCGCAAGTTTCTTCGAAAAAAGAAACGCCCAGGCAAACGATCTAATCGGTGTTATTTGTGCAACCGTCCTAGTCATTTTGCCAAAAATTGTCCAAACAAGCCCAAACAGGCAGCCAAAATGATGCAACAACTTTCTCAACTCACAGATATAGATTTTTCTGATGATGATGTTGAAAGTTGGTTTTCAATGGATAAAGAACCCACTTCAGACACTATTTTCCAGTTTGCAACCACTGATACTGAGTTCTCTGATTCAGATGATTGTCACTATTTCTACCATATCCAACAAACACCACAATACCTCCATCATTAGCCTTCTCATGTGACGTACCTACAGTAAAAGTTCAGATCTTCTCCACTAAATATTCCAATCCCATTTTAGTTATAGCATTTTTTGATACTGGTGCTACTCGCACTATTATCAACCCTAAGATCCTCCCATCCTCTCAGTGGAAACCTCATCAGGAAGTTTTCTACACTGCTAATAGTGACACTTTCACTACTCATCTGATCAGTAAACCCATTAAAATCCAAATTTTTCCAGGATGTTTTACTTTTCATAAAGTTCTTAGTTCCGATTTACCTGGCAAAGATATGGTTCTAGGTTTTGATGTTTATTCTAAACTCAATAAACTTAGAATCCTCCCTAATGGTGTTCAGTACAAGATGTTTTTCCAATCCTAGACAACTCAGCCTAATTTATTCTAGATTGACGGCAATCCTATTGAGCAGATCAAAACCCAGCTTATTTCCCGCTCTTGTGCAAATTCTCATGCAGATTTTCTCACTAAATGTGCTCATCCATTATGGAAGAATTCTGATTTCTTTATCCATCTTCCATTCATCAAGAGCGAAGATATCAATCCTACTAAAGCTAGTCATTCAGGCATGTCACCAGAACATCTTAGTCTAGCCCAACAAAAATGTACTCAGCTTGTATTTCAAGGATTGATCGAACCCACAGATTCTCAATAGGCATGTGAAGATTTTTATGCAATAAACGTGCTGAACAAGCCAGAGGAAAACTCAGACTTATTATCAATTATCAGCCATTGAATTTCTTTCTCCGTGATGATAAATTTCCTCTGTCTTCCAGACAAGTTCTCTTTGCAAATCTCCATAATGTAAAGATGTTTTCCAAATTTGATCTCAAAGCTGGATTTTGGCAACTTAGAATTCATCCTAATGATCGTCATAAGACTGCTTTTTGCATTCCCAACCAACACTACCAGTGGACGGTCATGCCTTTTGGACTTAAAGTCGCTCCTTCCCTGTTTCAGAAAGCCATGACAAAGATTTTTGCTCCTTTGCTGCATACATGTTTCATTTATATCAATGATATCCTTCTCTTTTCAAAAAATGAGGAATCTCGTAAATGTCTTCTTCGTGAATTTGTTGATATCATACACTCTTATGGTATTATACTCTCTGAGAAGAAAATGCAGTTAGGAAACAAAGATTGATTTTCTTGGTATGGTGATTGCTGACGGCAAGTATGATCTTCAGCCTCATATTGCTAATGAGTTGCAAAAATTCCCAGATGTTCTCATAACCAAGAAAGAAATACAACAATTCTTGGGAATTGCCAATTACATGCGCAATTTTATTCCCAACATTTATCGTTTCATTACTTCACTTTCCCAGATGCTTAAGAAGAATCCTCATTCATGGTCTGAAAAGCAAACAAATGCAGTCAAGAGTCTTAAGCGCACATCATTCCATATACAACAGTTGAAGATTCTTTCTTTTGGGAAACAAATTCTTTAGACGGATGCTAGTGACACTCATTGGGGTGCAGTGCTTTTTGAACAAGATGATGACAAGGTACGACATTTATGTGGATACTAGAGTGGACAATTCAAATCACACCAGTAACATTATCATTCTACTTTCAAGGAAGTATTAGCAGTAAA